GTCTCCTTCTTCCAGCTCAAGGTTCGGCAGTAAAACTTGCCCAAAAATAGGAGGTCATTTGATTTAAGAACTTTAGTTAAGGCTCACTGTGGTTTCATCTACACGGTTGGTTATCATTGACTGCAGAAATAACTCTCAGCGTCCCAGGGGAATTGATATCTGACTAAATCGTCACCAGAACCGTAAATTAATATTCATACTACTTATATTACAAAAGTAGTCCGGTCATATTTTACATAAATTAAAATTATCCTAACTTAATTTGAGGTCCCTGCACAAAAAGTAACACTAGTTTGCCTTCAATAAACATTTTTATCAGTTTGAGGGTAGACATGGAATGATATAGACGTTTTTCCCATAATGAGCTTGGTAGACCTCATAGTTTCATCGAAATTCACATTGCTTTGCCTCCCAGAAAGCTTTCCCATCCAGGTTGAACATCAATCGAGAACCCCGTCTCCTTCTTCCAGCTCAAGGTTCGGCAGTAAAACATGCCCAAAAATAGGAGGTCATTTGATTTAAGAACTTTAGTTAAGGCTCATTGTGGCTTCATCTACACGGGTGGTTATCATTGACTCCAGAAATAACTCTCGGAGTCCCAGGGGAATTAATATTTGACTAAATCGTGATAAAAACCGTAAATTAATATTCCTACTACTTATATTACAAAAGTATTTCGGTCATATTTTACATAAATTAAAATTATCCTAACTTAATTTGATGACCCTGCACAAAAAGTAACACTAGTTTGGCTTTAATAAACATTTTTGTCAGTTTTAGGGTAGACATGGAATGATATAGACGTTTTTGCCATAATGAGCTTAGTAGACCTCATAGTTCTATCGAACTTCACATTGCTTTGCCTTCCAGAAGGCTTCCCATCCAGGTTGAACATCAATCTAGAATCCCGTCTTCTTCTTCCAGCTCAAGATTCGGCAGTAAAACTTGCCCAAAAATAGGAGGTCATTTGATTTAAGAACTTTAGTTAAGGCCCATTGTGGCTTCATCTACACGGTTGGTTATCATTTACTTCAGAAATAACTCATAGAGTCCCAGGGGAATTAATATCTGACTAAATCGTCATAAGGACCGTAAATTAATATTCATACTACTTATATTACAAAAGTAGTCTGGTCATATTTTACATAAATTAAAATTATCCATAACTTAATTTGAGGACCCTGCACAAAAAGTAACACTAGTTTGGCTTAAATAAACACTTTTGTCAGTTTGAGGGTATGCATTGAATGATATAGACGTTTTTCCCATAATGAGCTTGGTAGACCTCATAGTTCCATCGAACTTCACATTGCTTTGCCTCCCAGAAGGCTTTCCCATCCAGGTTGGACATCAGTTTCCACCTCACCCAACTATATTTTTCGCATTTTTTTCTCTTTAAAATAGACGATATTACTTTTATTCAATCTAAGTAGATTGGTAAACTTGCACTTGCAGCCCAGGCAGAAGGATAAAACCTGGGAGGAGGCAAGTTTAAGTAAGCATCCATGGTATCGGAAGACCAAATCATAACAATGTATTGTTCACTACTCGCAATCACTTTAATAGAAGATACAAGAAATGGTGCTAATTATTTGGTATACTTCCATTTTGAGTGAAAGTGTGCCGTGAAGCGATTCGAAGATCGATCCCACCCGAGGTCTAAGGCGTCTTCCTCTTGACCAGATGTCAATTGACTTTACTAGAACCTTCTTGTTGATGCTATTTTCGAGGCAGTCTCGTTCGGTTTTGGTGAAAATATTCAAAGCTTTCGTCTGTCATCTGATAGACCTCGTCAGAGGAGATGGTATCGTCCTTCCAACCATCTTCATATGATTGACGAAAGCATAGCAAGTTTTCACCGGAATCGAAAGCGATTGCTTCGGGCACAACCTCAACAAAAATGTTCAACTATGGCCTGTCGACGTCTGGTGAAAATGAATTTGCTGTCATGTTTTGGTGGGATCGACGTTGAGTCTCTTCATCAAAAACATTTTCACTCAAAATGTAAGTAATCAGAATAAGTGTGAACCAAAAGATTCCACGAGACCCAACTTTTCTTCGCCTAAATGGTGATATTTGCCTCTCGTCTTGCCCCTTTGTCATGTTCAGACCAGACAGGGGATCGCAAATTCCCGAATACTCGAGTCATACGACGAGTGTACTTTCGCATCAACAGAGCCCAGTCTCCACCATCTCGAGCTTCTCCCATCCGGCCGAAATGCCTGACGACAACATAAATCTGGTCATCTCGATTGACCATCCTGCCCCGGACTACAACAGTCTGGCCGGAAAGTACACATTCCCCTACGCCAACTTGGCCTCTTCCGGCTATCCCTCAGCGACGTCTCGACAACCAACTCATGATCCGACGGGATCAGCCAATCAGCGCACAGGTCTTTGGGTCACAGGGCCAGCTGATTGGCTCTTCCCTTCGACCAATCCGACGTCAGGACGAGTCGACCAATCCGATTCGCACAGACAAGACACTACTCACTACTCACAACGAAATGACACCAGTAGACGGCAATCCCATCATTTGAGTCGAGCGCCGATGGTAGATGTTGGATTGCCACGTCCTTCTGTTGGTCGTTTACTGTCGTCAACCTGTCCTCCTGACGCCTACGCATTCATGTCCTCCGCGCCGGTTGACAACACCAGCATCAATGCCATGACAACAAGGCCCAGCCTTAGAGACTGTCATGCTGATCATCTGATCAATGTGCCGTCTGAAAGCGGTGCAGCCGGGCTTGAGTCAGCGGGTGGTCTGTCACTAAGACACTCGGCCTATTCCCCTTCTGGCATGGCGGGCAGTTATGCTGCCCAGTGGGCGGCGGGCGGAGCCGTGCCAGGACAACGCTTGACGACAGGGCCGTTGGTTCGAGCCCAACTGGTCGAGTCGCCGGAAGTGAATGAAGTGGAGGAATCGGAGAGATCGGGCCGCTGGAAACCGTTGCAGACCGGTTTACCAACCACTCTGCCATCGAAGGTTAGCGATTTGTGCGATAGTTGGCATTTAATCTGGGTTGTCAGGAGGAAATAATTCGATATTTGATCTTCGAGGCTGGCAGAAATGCGTGGAAAAGATAGCGTTTTTTTATATTTTCATTAGGTTGTAGGGATTATCAATAAATCGGACGAATGTTTAAGGGCGT